CCTCACTTCAATTGGTATATGGTCAGATTCAATTCTTTCAGCAATATACACTGCCATAATATAATTTTGTGCATCATTCTTCATGATGAAATAGTCAATAAACAAGCCATTTCCACTTCCAACAAAGGGCAGTTCCCCTTCACAGTCACCTCTGACTTATTCATTTAAAATTACACATCCTTCATCATTGCACTAATCCATTAGTTTTTTTTCTCCTCAGCATTGGAGATTTTACCTTCAGAACTCCTCATTAGGGTCCATTTCTCTTCTAATTCTTCAATCTCTAAATTCATTTCATGTTCATTACCGGTTCTTGCATTGAAGTCTCCAATTAAAACAGTATGCTTATCCTCCATATAATTGTTGACAAGTCCTTAGAAAGTTGGTCTAAAGTTCCTTCAATTCCAAAATTGTCATACATGCTAATTATTCTTCATTCAACATGATTATGGGAATTTCATATTGTAAGTCCTAACTTCTATGACTTGCAGGAGATTAATGGAGACAATTTCTTGGCAATTCCAATCAGTTGTCCACCTTTACTCTCCTTCAAGTTTAGTCTTTAACAGCTTACTTCATACCATTCATATTTATTATTAAGTTGTTTGGCCCACGTTAGTTTTAGTTTCTTCTTAACCAACATTTCAACTAAGTAATGCCAAAACTATAAATATAGTTCCAAACATCAACATTTTTGTTATAAAGTCTTGACACATTTCAAAAAAGTAATTTTCTCATTTCATCCCAGGTTAAAGTCTGCACTTCCTTGTTCCTACTATTTTGTTCCAAGGGTCTTTTCTTAGTTCCTTTCAAGGTTTCAATCACTTTTTTGCATTCCTATTCATTGGTGAGTGGCCTATACTTTTCCATAAATGTTTTTTTATTTGTCCTCCCACAGCAAGTTCTCTGTCTTTCCTTCTTCAATGAGTTTTTCTTCTCCTTTACTTCATTTTCACCATTTCCCATCTAAGCACAATTTCTGAAATCCCAACTTTGTTTTACATCATTTCTTTCTTACATCCTTAGCCATCTGATGTAACAACACTTGTATCTTCCTCATTTCCAGTGCATAGTCTTTGTTCCTTTCAGCTTTCCTCTTTTCTTTTATTCTCCTTTCACTAAATTTAACTGTGATTGGTCTGTCTCTTCCTTGCATTTTCTTTCTTACTTATATGCATGTTCCAAATTGTTTATTTTAATCTTCATCTTACAATCCTTTCTTTACTAATTGTTCACACTGCTCCCAAGGTTGCTAGTCAGGTCCTTGAAGTCCCTTAACCACTAAATTATTCTGTCTTGAACGATTTCATATTCTTCAACTTTACTTTTTAACCAAATTATTTTCTTGTTCATACTTACGATTTTTTCCTCTAAATCTGTTATCTTCTTTTCCTAATGTTTTCATTCTTCAGTTATTTCTTCAATCTCCTCCAGCTTTTTATTTACTAACTTAATTTCCTGCATTAGCATTCTCTTCAGGCTCGTTTTATTGATTACACTTCTTTCTTTTTGTTTGCAGGGAATGCATAGTTTTTCCTGAGGTTTCAAATGGATCCTTCTTCTCGTCATGTGCAAAAATTGTTAGTTTCAGCGAGACACTACTTCTCTCTCTTCCATTGTACAGTGGTTAGGTTGTGTACCTCCTCTTCAAAACAAATCAAAATGGAGAGATACCAGCACTGATCTTGATTTGTAACTAATTCCTGTGTTTCTACAAACTCAAAAACTTTGCTCTTTGTTACTCAAAAATTTTCAGGTTTCAATGATGAGTGAAACTTTCATGTGGCAGCCACCATTAAACTCTTACAGCACCTCCCCAAATATTGTTTATGCTAAAGATCCCTCTTTTGTCACAATTCAAAATATTTAAACATTTAATTTTGTAATGCAAATGTAAAACATGCAAAAAGTAACCACAAATCTAATCTTATGCACACCCTGCATATCAGCCAATAAAGTTGAAACTTACTCAGTAGCACCAATTGCATGGTTAAACATTAGTAATTACATTATCTAATGGAATTCAGGCAGTTTTATAGTTATGAGAATGTTTCAAATGCCTAATCACTTAGAGTATTTTCTAAGGCTCACACTGAAATAATGTTGGCAAGACATCATTAAGTCATGTTGAAAGAACACAAATGTGTTGATAGACTTTCAAAATGACATTTTTATTATGGGTGAATTATGGGAGAGGTTAAATACACTTTTATGGCCATTTTTGTACTTTTTAATATTTATAGGTCAAAATGAATATAATATACACAAGTAAAGGAATTTGAAGAGTGGACAAAACCCTAACTTTATGGACCTTTGTCCTTATTTTTGCGACAAAGATGTAATTTAGGAACTATATGTAAAAATAAATGAAAAGCACTTGTAAAAACAATGAACAATAGTATGGGCAACATGTTTAAAGTATGTTAGTTTTGGTGTGATGCATTTTGCAATTTTAACCAAAGTAAAAAATAATAGGTACTTTAATTTCTAAAGAGTTTACAAATGCCACACTATGCATGAAAATGTAAATATACCTTTTAAAAATGTTAGTAGCATAGAAAAAAAAAAGTTTCACTAAACAGCAGTTGTAAGTTTTATCATTATGTTTTGTTAGGATATTTCAAACAAATTTGACAGTTACAAGACAGTTAAAGAATGTATCTAGTAATAATTTAACTAGAAACACACTCAACTTTAACCAATAACACCCGATTCACATTTTCTTGATTTTCCAGGTTACTCCTGACAGTAGAAAGTTTATTCTTTCATTAAGTATTTTTTTAATTGTTGAGCCATACTTAATATTTTAAAAAAGCTTATTTCATAAAGGGTGATTTTGAGATTATTCAACATTCATAAAAACCAAATACAGGACGCAAAAAAAAAAGTCCAAAATATCTTAAATAGCTCATACTTAAAAAACATTGACTTAAAATTGAATATTTAAACAATATGCATCATAGTATTCATACTATATCTTAACCAAAAAATAATAATCTTATATTTTTTTCAAAGAAATTATCATAAAAATACATTTAAAAACTGCTTTCATAAATGGAAGTATCCAACTCAAAAGGTTTACAATAAAAGTTATTTGTTCAGTTAAATCTGAAAAAAAAGAAAGAAAATATTTTCTTTCCCTATGAATACAACTGTAGAACCTTAATTTATAAGAACATAATATTCTGGAACAACATGGGACCTATTGGTCCATCTCAACTGTCTCATTCTCTAAACTCATATATAAAGCTATTAATATATAAATTTAAAAAAAATCTTAAAGCCAGCCCTTATCAAGCTTTGTCTTAAACTCATTTAAATTTACTGCCTCCACAACTTCCAAAGGTAGCCTATTCCAAATGCCAACCACCCTGTTAGAAAAATAACACTGTCTTAGCTGCAGATGACTCCTACCCTGCCAAAATCTATATTTGAGTCCCCTAGTCTTACTATTCTTACTGTTAAGTATGACAAAAGATGATGCATCTACACTATCGATTCCCTTTACAATCTTAAACATCACAATCAGATCTACTCTAACTCTTCTTTTTTCAAGAGAAAACAGTTTGAGAAATTTCAGTCTCTCCTCGTATGACAACCCCACAATCCCAGGCACCATTCTAATAACCCTTCTCTGAACCATTTCCATCAATTCAATGCTCTTCCTAAGGTAAGGAGCCCAAGACTGAATGCTATACTTCAAATGTGACCTATACAATGAAATTATAACTTCTTGTTAGATACAACCTAAAATCCTATTTGCCATACCACTAGCAACAATACACTGCTTGGATGGTTTAAGAGACTAATCAACCATTACACCAAGATCCCCTTCTTTCATGACACTGTTAAGGTTACTTCCAATAAAATTATTTACTTATAATTCAAATAATGATAACCCACATGCATTAGCTTGCATTTAATATAATTAAAACCCATCTGCCATTTATCTGCCCAAATCCCTAAATGATCTAAATCATTTTGTAAATCAGCAGCATCCTCTTCATAACTAGCAACACCCAAGACCTTAACACCATCAGCAAATTTAATTAACTTATTGCTCATTCCTTCGGCTATGTCACTGATGTAAATAAAAAAGAGCAAAGGTACTAAGACTGAGCCCCGAGGTACTCCACATTTAGCATTAATCCAGTTTGACTGAACTCCATTTGTAACAACCCTTTGCCTTCTTCCATCCAGCCACTCTTCTATGCAATTTGCTAACTAATCCCCTACACTTACAGATATATATTTTTTTACAAGCCTTTACACACCTTGTCAAATGCTTTCTGGAAATCCAGATATACAAAATCTACACCCTTATCCTCATCTACATAAACAATAACATTTTCAAAGAATGTCAAAAGATTTGTAAGGCAAGATTTTCCCTTAGTGAAACCATGTTGACTATCCAATAAAATTCTAAACTTTGTTAGATGGTTTTGCAAAGCATCTTTTATCACACTTTCCAAAATCTTCCCACAGCTGATGTAAGACTAGTGGGCCTAATAACAGTATAATTACTGGGACAATTTTTACACCTCTCTTGAAAAGAGGAGTGACATTAGCAAACTTTCAATCCCTTTCAATGACTTACAAAAAATAGTAACAATTATTGCTTTCGACTAAATCAGTAAATGCCATGTTTGCTTAATTGATCACGTAAATATTACAAGACAGTGGGCGAGAATTTTAACATAGGTGTGATTTTCATCCCAATTTAGTTATTGTTTATCCTAATATGTATTTTAAATACAAAAAAAATTCACCAATCATTCAAACTCAAAGGCGCCATTGCGTCAATCAATGTCTCATTTATTTGATTTAATAACTTAATTTCAACTAACTCACTAAGTTCTGATAAGATCCTGCTTTTGAATTAGATTAGGTATGAGATATTCCAAGAACGATTATATTAATCTATAATGTTATTATAAAAATGTAAAACCATGGAAGAAATAGTTTTCAAAACACCAATCTGCAAATGTGTGTTGACTCACCCAAAAAGCTGACCGAAAAACCCTTGCGCAGAATTCACTTTCTTCTCAGCGTCACTAATAAGCTGTGTTGCTTTTTGTTCACTATCTGCCATCCTAAAATTCGCCAATTATAAAAACAAGTGAAAAATGTCAATTTTCAAAGAGTTTTATAACTTTTAAACACCAAATTCACTGCTACAGAAATAGCGTACAAATCAATTCAACCGTATGTGTCAACTCATTTCGTTCGATTGAGCCACACAGGATAAATTATAATCTAGGTACCATGTCTATCCTGTTTTATACATAATAATTATACGCAAAATAATTTTTAAAACACTAAGCGTGAAAATATATGTTGGCTCATTTTAAAAGCAGACCGAAAATCCCTTGTGCAGAATTCACTATGGTATTAATATGTGGCTTTTATATGACATAAAAGAACTTAACTTACAATAGGAAAAGTAACAATAAGTTTTATGACGTCATCTTCTTATTAAATATTTATATTTTAATTTTGCTCTTACTTGTTTAAATTTGATCTCGCCCCCTTTTCTCATGATATACATTAAATATTTCAAAACCCGAAATAAAGAGTGTTGGTATCTGAAGAGTTTCTTATGCACTGATTTGAGACCCCCCCCCTACTCCCCAAACCCCTTTGGATTTTGGCATAGTCGTTGCTAGTGGGGCCTAGCATGACCTAGTGGTCAGTTTAATAACAAACATTTTGGTCTTTTAATAGACCAGGAGGGTTGGAGTAAACCGCACTTGCCCCGACCCCTTTCAGGGGAATGTCCATGTAGGTATCTTCATTTACATTCTTGTGTTGTGCATAACATCTCTTAATTCGGTGTTGTAAAGCCTTACACTTAACGAACAATTCCACATATGCGGACAACACATTCCAAACGTTTGAAACTAATCTAATACATTTTATATAAAATACCCTTTAAATGTATTTGTTTTAGTCCAAACGAGTGTAGGGTTTAAGGTCTAGTGGTAGGTATCCTTATTAAATCCTTATTTCTAAAATAAATGTTTACAGGTAAGAAGTACTTAGGTCTACTTCCATCATGTACGTAATAGCGATCAAGTTCATAGAGTAGGTCATTCTTTTGCTAATTTTTCCAAAGTAATTTAGAGTATTATGCAAAAGTCTATCGGATATTGTTTGTATGTTTGCATAGCTGTGCATAAATTGTGATGAGGTACTACGGGTGACTTTATATGCTGTGGTAATAACTGAGTTATGTATAGATTGTACTTTATTTATGTGTTTGCGAGTTATGTTTATCCATGCGGGGCATGCATATTCTATTGGTCGTTTGTTAATTACTCGTAAAAATTATTTCCACAGTTCCCGATCAAACATCAACTTTGATGGAGTGTATCCAGTGGCTTCATACTCTGTTGTCCTATAGGCCATCAACAGTGGAGGGAGTAAGACATCCCAGTCATCTTGGCGGCTATTACAAAACTTTGCCAATTCCTGTCCCAGTGTCCAGTTGTACTTTTCTACCATCCTATCAGACTGTGGGTGAAGTGGCGTTGTTCTGGTCTTTCGTATGCCAAACAACTTGAAGCATTCATGGAGCACAGCTGATTCAAAGTTACGGCCTTGATCTGATTGCAGTTCGTATGGCATACCAAATCTGAAGAAGAAATCACTAATAGCCGAAGCTACAGTTGTAGCTTCCTGATTTGGTATTGCATATGCCTCAGGCCACTTGGTGAAATAATCCATCACCACACAAATGTACCTGTTTCCAACACGAGTTTGAGGTGAAAGACCAGCAATGTCAACGGCTACTCTTTCCATTGGTGTGCCAACTTGACATAACTTCATTGGAGCACATTCCTTATGCTTGGGTCCCATTTTAGCACAACATGTACTGCATGTCCTGCACCATTCTTCCACATCTTGCTTCATACCTATCCAGTAAAATCTCTGCTATAGGTGACTCAGTGTCCTCCTGTTAAGCTATCATGGGAT